TAAATTCTTCAAAAATTCTAATGTTATAAATAATAAAGAACTGCTGAAAAATGGTTCCAGATTAACAGGGACTAATGAGATATAACCAAGTACAATATATGATCCTAAACTAGACCTGGTACTGAAGTGGGTAAAATACCATAAAGTACATTCCACCAATCTCATAAAAGTTTTGTATCAGTGACAAAGTTATTGAGGTTGATAATTGTATGGTGCTTATGAATATTATTATTCATAGGAAACGCACACTAAAATATTTAGGGATTACAATAGATTAAATGATTATGTGTCCACCAATTCATATGTTAAATCCTAATGCCCAATGTGATGGTATTTGGAGGTGGGGCCTTTGGAGATGACTAAGCCATCAGAGTGGAGCTCTCAGGAATGGGATTAGTGCCCTTATATGAAAAGATCCCAGAGAGCATCCTCACTGCCTCCACCAGATGAGGACACAGTGAGAAGAAAGCAACCATTTATGAACCAAGAAGCAGATTCTCACCAGACACGGAATCTGACTGTACTTTGACCTTGGATTTCCCAGCCTCTAGAATTGTGATAAATAAATTTCTGTTGTTCATAAGCCACCCAGCCTATGGTATTTTGTTGTAGCAGCCCAAATAGTCTAAGACAGAAATGAGCAGGCCACAATGTATGCATTTTACTTTTGATCAATTCAGGAAAAAAAATTGATGGATAGATGGACAGACATTGCTACAGAGAACAAATGATAAAGCATTTGGGGCAAAATATCAACAGCCATGAATCTGGATAAAATTTTTTTTCTAAATTCTTGCAATTTTTTTGTAAGTTTGAGCTTTTTGCCAAATAAAAACTTTTCTAAAAGACACACACACACACACACACACACACACACACACACACACACACGCAGATTCTGGAACTAAATACCAAAAAATGTTCACAATACTTACCTCCTGGGGATGGGAATACAGGGATTTTGGGGGTAGGGGTGGGTATAGGATTATTGAGAGGGAAGGGGACTCTTAGCTTTTGTTTAATATCCCTCTAAGCTGTCATAATTTAACATGAACTACCTGTGCAATAAGATGATGCCTAATTAATTTTAAAGCAGCATTTTGGAGTCATGGAAAGAGTGTGGCTGAAAGATGTTGACTGAAATCTCATCAGTGCCCACTTTGCTCAGGGTATGGCCTTAACCAAGAGAAGTAATTTCTCTGAATGTGAAATTCCTTAGATGACCTAAATTTCTATTCCCAGCTCTGTCACAAACACACTGGAGAATGTTAGGCAGGTCTTTCACCTCCCTAGGCCTCAAGTTTCTTGTCTATAAAATGAGAGGATGCAACCATGCCTTATTTTCAAGTCCATTTTGATAGCAAAAGAAGTTTGCTTTTCCAGGCTATTATCTCTTTTAACAGGAAGAGTTCTTCTGAATTTTGTCATTCACATAAAGAAAAGATACTCTACCATTTTGGGGGCCAATGACTATTACTTAATATCCTCATACAACTTTCAATGGTTTTTATTTGTTTTCTTTTTATTGTATCTACATTAGAAGATGGATGTTAGCAAACCTATTGTAGTAATCATTTCATAATATATGTAAATAAAACCATCATGTTGTATCTTAAAAGTGTACAGTGATGTGTGTTAATTATATATATATATATAAAGCCAGCAACCGGGACGCCAGAATGACCGGAACAACCAGTCGTTATGATGCCCACTGTAGCCAGCCAACTGGCCCGATCAGGGGGTGGGGCTGGCTGGTCAACCTCCCGCGGCCCCTCCCCCGAGCCGGCCCCACCCCTGATTGGCCTCTCCCACCCTGATCAGGGGCGGGGCTGGCCCGCCAACCACCCACAGCCCCTCCCGCCACCCGCCCAGCC